TCATCCGGATGGTTGTTCTGCTGTTGGGTCTAATGAGCATATTAGCTCTTTATTACATAGGATGATTTTCTAACCACTATACTGTACACCTGAAACTAATACAAAATAATATTGAATATCAACATTAATAAAAACTAAAATTTAAAAAATAAAGTAAATAAAATCATTGAACTCACAGAAACAGAGTAGAGTGATAGTTGGCAGGGGCTGAGCAGTGGGGGAAATGGGGAGATGTTGTTCAAAGGTTACAAGCTTCCTGTTATAAGGATCTAAACGTATAGCATAGTGATTACAGTTAACAATGCTGTACTGTATATTTGAAAGTTGCAATGAGAGTAGAGCTTCAATATTCTCAGCATAGCAACAAAATGATAATTATGTGAGGTGAATGATGTGTTAGCTTTATTGTGGTAAACACTTCACCATATATATGTTTATCAAATCGTCACACTGTACACCTTGAACTTAACAATATTATATGACAATTATATCTCAACAAAGCTGGGGGGGAAATCATCACTCCTTTGGAAGGTTCAAGCCTGGCCTTCAGAATGTTTGAGAACCAAGATAGCTTAGAGCTGGTATCCTAATGCCCCAAAGGGATAGAAGAGAAAAGGGAGTTGGGAATGAACCCATTCTAGTTAAGCCCAAAGTTGTAAAGAACTTCAACTTTCAGTTCTTCACACAATGCCTGACACACAAATAAGTACTCAATCTGTACATATCCTCCTATACTCTCTGGTTCATATGGACAAGTTTGTCCATAATTTCTTAGAATAGGAACTACTCAATAGAGCTTTTTCCTTCATTGTCATGAGCAGGGGTCCTCAAACTTTTTAAACAGGGGGCCAGTTCACTGTCCCACAGACCGTTGGAGGGCCAGACTATAGTTTAAAAAAAAAAAAAAACTATGAAATTCCTATGCACACTGCATATATCTTATTTTGAAGTAAAAAAACAAAACGGGAACAAATACAATATTTGTATTTGCATGTGGCCCACGGGCCGTAGTTTGAGGACCCCTGGTCATGAGAAACTGCAGCCTTCATGGAAATGCAAAAAAATAAAATAAAAAATCTCCGCTCGCTGACCAAGGGAAGCAACATGGAAGCTTGCCATCTATCCAGGGCCTTGGGAGGAGGGAGGGGAAGGGAGAAGAACCAAGAAATTACTAAAACACCAACCTTGTGCCAGACTCTGTTTTGAGTTGTAAAGTTATACTACACACAAGGTGGTGGAATCCAAAGCCGTGAAATTAATATAAAACCTAGTCCAAATTCATTGAAATGCCAAGGGCTTCAGCAGAAGTAAACTTGAAACTACTTAACTGCTCTGTGGGGCTCATAGGTCTTTCCACCCATGTGTGTGTGTGTGTGTGTGTACAATTAAAAATTACACAATGAACAATCCAATAATTTCAGTGACCAATTTATTCCACACTTCATAAATAATAGTTGGAATAATAGAACAATCCAAAACAGACTGAAATAAATTTAAAATTATAAAGGACATAAAAGGAGGAAATGAAAACATGTTGAAAAAATAGAACAAGTATATAAAAAGAATTAGCAGACTTTGAATTAAAAAAATAACCAAACATATTCTCAAATGAAAAATGCAGTCACTAAAAATAGAGTAGATTAATAGATTAAATACAGATGCAAAGTTTTTAATAAACGAAAGGTGGTCTGATAAACAGCACTCTGAATGCAACATAGAGGCAGAAAAAGAAGAGAAACAGAAAAAGGAAAACGGCCAAGCAGCATTCATACAAGATTACTGGAACAGCATTCATCAGAGAAGGCACATGGTAACGACATCATTAAGTGTGCATGTCCCCTACTAGCCATGACACTATGGACGTGCATAGCAATCTGGAAGGGTGAGATGTCAGATATTCAGAATGGCATCGCAGTGCTTGGGGCTTTTAAGCCGCATGATTAGGAAAGCACTGGCCTTTGCCTGTGTGATCAGAGGCAGGAATACAATCACAATGTGATGAGTAAAGTCTTTCATATAATGCTTCAGGACCCTGTTTATATCCCTATCCGGTTAGCTTGATACTCATGGTTGGGGTAACTCTCCTGCTTTGCATGACCTAAGAGCTAGGTTCTAAGCCTTCATGGTACGACTGTGAGATGGGAAAGTACAGTAGCAGGATTTGCCACATCAGTGTGTATGGCCTGGAAATCAGCAGACCCATCTCTGGCATAATTAGGGGATGGGAGTCCAAGCTTTGTGGTTGACCAGGATTGTTTGCTCTACTGCGTCACAGCCAGTTTGGGCAGAACTTTGCAAGAGGCCCAGCCCTTTTCTGAGCAGACTGCCTACAGGGGCTCAGTCCTGGACAAGTTAATGTCACCCTGCTAACACATAAGAAACTATCCTATATAATAAAAGTCTAATATGCAAATTGTCCCTCAGGCAGTCGTTCAACCAGGAGTTTGACCTGGAGACCGGGAGTTCGACTGCTCGCTATGACATGCGCTGACCACCAGGGGGGCAATGCAGAACATGGAGGGCGTCAGCAAGGCAGCACTGGCAGCGGGCAGCAGTGGAGGCACTGCCGGCCCTGACAGGCCCCAGCAAGAGCAGGACCGCGGTGGGATGATGGAGCAGGTGAGGGGAACTGGGGATGGATGGCAGCGACCAACCTCCTGCGGCGCCCGGGCGGGGGGCTACAACCTCTCGCCAGCTACCTGGGGGCGGGGGTGATGGGATGGAGGTGCAGTGAGAATGCGGGGGGTTCACTGAGCTCGCTCTCACTCCCCCTGCTACTCTCCCCTGGGATGCCAGGACTCACATACCAGGGAAGCCCCCACACTCAGGTGCCAGATGCCCGCGAGGAGCCCACCCCGCACCTGCACACCCTCTTCCGGGTGAGCGCGCCACAGCTGCTGGGACCACAGGAGCTGGTCGGGCTCCCCGTGGGTTCATACATGAGCCAGTCTGTGAGGCCAGCTGGGAGAGAGCATGCTGCCCACCCAGCTTTTATGTAGCGCCGCTGGGCGGCCCAGAGGCCCATGCTGCGCTTCTGCCCACTGCGTCCAGCTGTGCTTATTGCATCTCCGCTTGGGGACTCAGGCACCATGACTCAGGAGGAGGGGGGCTCGTGGGGGCCCAGGTGCTTCCCAGGGCCCAGAGGTCAGCTGTGACCTGCCCTTCCACACCAGATGCTCGTGCTTCGATCGCTGGCCAAGCCTAGGGATCATACCCATGCACAAATTTCGTGCACCGGGCCTCTAGTTTATTATATGAAACTATCCAACAAACTCCGTATAAGAGTTTCAAGTTCTACTTGGCTGAAACTGAGATTATGCAGGGGGAGAATAAAGAGGCACAGTACCCAAAGAGAAAATGATCAAGATTTTCCACAACAAATAAAAACTTGAATCTTTCAAATAAAGATGTATATCGCATGCCAAGTCAGATAAATAAATGCAAGTCTTTATCTGGAGATTTAAGAGGAGAATTGCAGAACATCACAAAGAGAAATAAAATCTTAAGAGCAACCAGAGAGAAAAGACCAATAACCAAGAAAAGAATCACAATGAGGCTGACAGCACATTTCTGTGGTAACTAGTCTCCACAGATTACCCTGCCAAGCTCCCCCTTCCCTGTAAGTGCATACTGCTTCTCATATCAAGAGGTGCAGCTTCCCTGGGGCCGGATTAGAATGCACTGACCAACAGAATGCCACAGAAATGGCATCTGAGACTTTGGCTGCCATAAGAGGACTGGCAAATTACACTTCTTTCTTCTTGCAACTCTTGCTGTGGGACACCAACTTTAAAATCTCGGCCACCAAGGTAGAAGAAGCCCAACCCATGCAGAGTAGCCACACAAATGAGAACTAGAAGGGCAACAATTTACAGTCCCAAGTATGATTCCACATGCAGCCAAGTATTAACTGTGAGTAGTCATCTTTGATGGTCTATCTGAATTGAGCCCCGAGATAACTGTAGCCCCAGGCAACATCAAAAAGAGAAACGACCCCACTGATACCAGGCAACTTAGAGAATCATGAGAAAGAACAAAATGGCTCATTTTTTAAGACACTAAATGTAAATTTTAAATTGATAATTAAAACATTCTTCAGTTGCAATAGTAGATTCCAGAAGACAATAGAAAAATATCTCTAAAGTGTTGAGTAAAAATAATGCTCAACCTAGAATTCTATAACAAATTATATAATTTTCTAGAGTAAGATCAAAACATATTTTTGGACAAATAGTGAAAGTCCACCACTTAATAATCTCTCACAGAGAGAAATACTACAGAACAATTGGTATACCAGTAAGAAATGACTATAAGCAATAAAATTTATAAATATGTTGTAAATCTAAATAAGCACTGACATGCTAAAAAGATACAATTATAATTTTAAATAGTATCTGACCTGGTTAACTAATTTGTCTATTTTGGTGTTTTGAATTCATACTAAATAAAATAGTAGCATAGAGAAAATGCCCTTAAAAATGAGCCAATATATATGAAAGCATCTCTGAGACCTTATACCCACTATTTATCAGTTCTTCCCGCCTCCTTCCCACATACACAATCCTCCCAGAGCCAAACATTAAGGGATAGAGAAGAGACACTTGTAAGAGGAAAGCAAAAGAGGGCAGCCAGGCAAGAGAACTCTCCCCTGGCATTCACCAGGTGCAACATTCAATGCCTACTTTTTCATTTTCATCTGCTTGTCAGAATAAAAAATTATGTCATGAACATACAATGTGAATGATAATTTTTAAATTAAGGACCAAGTAATGCCTTTTGGTCAGAAGTCAGCAACTCCTATAATCATATAAACTACAAATTTTCTCCCCCTTTTCATTCTAAACATGAAAATTTTCAATCCCCTATTTAAAGTTTTCAGTAGAGAACCAAATTTAAAGAGTAGAAGAAAAGTTCAGAGCTTCTACTTTCAATTAACATAGAACTTAGCTATACCAGAAAGTGATTAATCGTTTTAAAGAAGATTATTAAGCATTACTTACTTTAATAGCAAATTTCTTTGATGCCATGGCTTACTGATTCCAAAGTAATTACAGACCTTTAACAGAAGAAAAAATAAAGTTAAAAGTAAGTATATCAAAAATCTCTATCTATTTGAATATTACACGGGAGAAAAGTTGGCTGAATAGTCAAATATCAATTGGTATTTGCAATATGAATGTTCACTTATAATGAGCCTTAACAAAAATATTACATTAAATTAGTCATTTTAAAACTTCCCACAAAGAAAAGCACAGACCCAGATATATTCTACCAAATGTTTAAAGAAGAATTAATATTAATCCTTCACAAAAAAAAAAATATTAATCCTTCACAAACACTTTAATAAAACGGAAGCATAAGAAAAACTTCTCGAGTCCGAGGGGAGCAAGTGAGCTGAGTGGCTATGTGGTCACGTCTTGGAGAACAACAGCACTTGCAGCAAGAGAGGCTGACAAACTGACTCAAGAGCATTCTACCTCTCAATCCTATAAATAAAGAGGTAATATGCAAATTGGCCCTCGCTCTGTCACACCTTCACAAGATGGCTGTACCCAGTGGAGGCAGGGTTCCCGTAAAGAGCGATCAGCAGGGATCTGAGGCTGCGTGGTGCTGGGACAGGGAACCTGAGGCTGTGACCCCCACCCATTGGGGATTGACGGGGGACCTCAGGCCACACACTCCTGCCCAGCAGGGCTTGACAGGGGACCTCAGGCTGCGCCCCCCACCCTGGGGCCAGGGGACCTGAGGCCGTGCCCCGGTGCCAGGCCAGGGGACCTGAGGGTGCACCGGGGGACCTGAGGCTGTGCTCCCGCCTAGCGGGGCTTGATGGGGGTGGGGCCGGCCGGGTCTGGGTCTCGCGCGATTTCGAGATGCATGCGGGTGGGTGGGGACTTGACTCTGGGTCCTGAAGCGTGCCCCAGATTCTGACAGGAGGAAGATTTTCATATACATCTTACTAATCTTCTTTCATCTCTGAAAGCATGCCCCAGACTCTGACAGGAGGAAGATTTTCATATACATCTTACTAATTTTCTTTCATCGCTGACACTTCTATTATAGAGAAAGGGCAAAAAGCAATATTAAAATATTTCCTCTAATTGATTCCCTTTTAATGTGCACGAATTTCATGCACTGGGCCACTAGTATGTACATATTTTTTCATTTGTTTCTACAATGCCTGGAACCTCAAAAAAAAAATCACAATTTTAGGACAAAAAGAGGCTTTATAACTACTTCTACTCCAATCATGCCATCTATTCCCCAATTGAGAACCTGGGGACAGGGCAAGGGTCTCACATCTGAGAACCAAGGGCAAGAGAAGATCTTGTCAGCTCACTGAGGACAAACTAGCACCATCTGTCACCTGCAGCACTGCCAAGGTCAATTAGGCACCACATTAAAAAAAACTGAAGTAGAAAAAAAGCACATGACCATTTTAATTTTATAGAGGCAGATAAAAATTTAAGAAAACATTAGAAGTCTAAGAATAAAAATAAATTTCTCATCTGAATAAAGCATTTATAAAAATGTAGCAAATATGCTTAATGGTGAATCTTATAAGCAATTTCCTTGGAACAGGTAGAAAATGTTGACTTATTAAGATATCATTAAACAATTGTAAAATATCTAGAAATAAGTTTAGTATGATATGTGCAAGAAGTCCTCAAATTGATCTTCAAACTTAACGTAATTCCAACCACAACCTTGAATGGGGAATCTAAGGAGGAGGAAAAAGACTTGCAAAAAGAAAAACAAAGGAGGGGGTTTGCTTACCAGACAAAACTATTATAATGCAATCCTATATAATAAAAGGCTAATATGCAAATAGACCAAAAGGCGGAACAACCGGAACAACCGAATGACTGGACAACCGGTCACTGTGACGTGCACTGACCACCAGGGGGCGTGCACAGAATATGGCGGGCATTGGCCACAGCAGGATGGTGGATCAGGTGAGCAGGGGTGCCAGACCAAGGCAGGGTGCCGGTCGCTGTCATCAAGGAGAGCCTCTGGTGGTTACTGAATATTCTTTCCTCCCACGCGCCACGGTCCTGCCCAGCGCTCACACCTGCTGTCGGCGCTGGCCCCGCTCACATCCGCTGCCAGTGCCAGAGCTGCAGCTCGCACCAACAGCCAGCGCCCAGCACCGGTTCCAATTGCACGGCATCATCAGCGGGTGAAAGTGGTGGCTGCCAGGCCCAATTGCCTTTCAGTGCTTCTCTACCTCACCCTGCTCCTGAGGGGAGATCAGGGCCAGCAGCTGCCTCTCACACCCACTGCTGGTGCTGGAGCCGCTGCTTGCACCCACTGCCAGCACCGGCCCCGCTTGCACCCACAGCCGGTGCCAGAGCCACCGCTCGCACCTGATGCCGATGCCTAGTGCCGGTCCCAATTGCTTGGCACCATCAGTGGATGCGAGCGGCAGCTGCTGGCCCTGATTGCCCCTGAGGGCTTCTCCACCTCCCCCTGCTCCTAAGGGGTGGTCAGGGCAGCAGCTGCCGCTCGCACCCACTGATGGCACCGGCCCCCATCGCTCCACACCTTCAGTGGGTGCAAACGGGGCAGGCGCAGTCAGTACATGGGAGCAGCAGCCAGAGTGGGGCTGCCGGCAGACAGGGGATTGGGGGCCATGGTGGGAGGGGCCAGGCGGTGGCATGGAAGATGTGCCGAGACCCGCCCCTGTGCCTACTGCAGCCTCGTGGCCCATAGTTCCTTTCAAGGTGCACAAATTCGTGCACTGGGCCCCTAGTCTTCATATATATATATATATATATATATATATATGCATGCCTAAGTATATAAAAGCCTAAACGACCATTATGACCAGACGACCAGCTGGTAGCTATGATGCACACTGACCCCCAAGGGGCAGATGCTCAACACAGGAGCTGACCCCTGGTAGTCAGTGCGCTCCCTCAGCCAACTTCCCATGGCCAGTCAACCTCCCACAGTCCCTCCTCCTGGCCAGCCCCAATCGGCCCCGATTGCCAGCCAGGCCAAGGGACCCCACCCATGCACAATTTTGTGTACTGGGCCTCTAGTCCTTTTATAAAAGCTGCTTTTCAGTCTAAATACAGAAAGACCATTTACCAGGGAACCTGGGGACAGCACACACTCCGCTCTCTTCTCTTACTGCATGCACACACTGTCATCTGGGTACAAGGGATGACAGCCAAAAACTGTCCCACGGGAAGGTAAAATCATTATTTGCTAGGATATCCCAGACCTGGTTATCATAAAGGCTCCTCCACAACCATAGCCTCTTCAAATATCTCCTCTCTCCCTCCCTGCACTTCTCCATCCCAAAATCCATCACTAGAGGTACTTAAGCAGGAGTCCCCTACTCAAAACTCCTCCAGCATCAAAGGCCCTCTGTCAGCACCTGCCGACACCTCCATCTCATGATTCAGGCACCTTCAATGCTTCCACATAGCCAAATTCTGACATGTGTCCTTGAATATGCTGCTCTGGCTCTCCCACCTTCTCCCAGGCATGCTGCACTACAGGACGTCTTCTCTCCTAAGGCAAGTTATCCTCGGCAACCCAACTCAGATGCCACCTTTCCTTGGAGCTATCCAAGAATGTCCAGAGTGAACGGCTTCCTTTTCCAGGCCACACCTGCACCTTCCACTACCTCTACTTTCACACTTAGCTCACCGAATTACACATAACTCAGGTCCTCAGTCTCTCTCCCCTGACTATAAGCTTCCTGAGGTCCATTCTTATCCTCTTTGATACCTGGTGCATGGCACAGGTATGCATCAAAAGTTTGCTGACTTGAGTCTGTTGTGGCTACTAAATAACAGCTACAGACTGTGTTATTATCTTTTTAGATTTATACCTATCTAATGCATCTTTACTGTCCCCAAATCCCACATTAGGATTTCTTAAAAGGAAGTCAAAGCACTGAGCCTATTTCAACACATAATAACACTTAAGCTATATGTATCATGAAGCCAAAGTTGAGAAACATATAAACATGCCAACAGAAGATCAAAGTGCTTTGTATTGAAAATAATAGGCAACAGATCACATGTGTGATTTAAATTTGGGCCATAAATGTGAGTTCTTCAGTACATAATTTCTTTTCTCTTTAAAATACTGATATTCTAACATTCATTTTTATAAAAAAAGATATTATTAGCTTCTGTATTAGGTTTTAAACCCGGGAACATCTTGAGGTTTTTCTAGACTTGTTTTATTGATCACTAGAAAGTAAATGTGCACACACACAACAAGCAAGTATGCATCTTAAAAAGTTACTTTGCTGGGTCCTTAAAGTTGCTTTCAGGAGGGAGCAGCATGCTCAGTGCCTGGGGTTAAAAAGCCTTGCTATCAGAGCTGCCAGGTCAAGTCTAAATTCAGTGAAATTTTTATTTTATTGCATGTTTTTCAGAAGATCAAGACAATCTCCTAAAAGGTCAATTTTCCAAATATCTAAAAGCATATAACTTGCATGAGCATGCTGACAAGTTAAAGTATATTATAAATCTCACAAAATACTAGTCTCATTCTCTATTTCATCATTCCTGAACCCACTTTCTCTGGCCTGAAAACAGGCATTCTTTCACAAAGAGGAGACTTTGACAGAGTAAGACCCCACAAAAATATGTGTGCGTGTGTGTCTTTAGTAGAAAGGGAACGATCCTAAGATCCTTAAGAAAATTAATTTGGGGAGGGAGTGGAAGTAGATTAAACAATGTCACATGATTGTCCTGTCATTTAAATACAAAGCAGAGATAAATTCTAATAAAGAAAGTCAATGACCTTCTAGATTATTTGGTGGGAAAATCCAATGCACTCTGAAATTCACATTTGTCTTCCTTTTAGCATTGCCGACCTGTGTGACAAAGCCAAAGCAACCATTCCAGATTAAGAAGTCCAGAAAATAACTTCAGATTTCTAATCTCTGGATTTTATATTTTATCAAAAAAATTATTATACTTCCTCCAATCATTTTTAAAAATACTTTCATTGGCTATGGGAGCAGAAACTGAAAACAACAAAGGCCGAGAACTTCTGAAGAAATAAGTATAACTCAAGAATAAGAAATCA